TTCACTAACCATGTGATTCAGGGATGCCGCTCGAACACCTTCCATCTTGATCAGGACAGAGCATTGAAGTGACGCACGGGACGCCATTCGCTCTGCTGGCTCACGCCAGTCTCATCAGGATGCTTCAGAGTAAGGTGCGAGCTGCGCCGACTCGGCAGACTGACAAGCGCAAATCACTAGACGTGTGTTTGAGCTTTCTTTACATATGACGTGTATGCATACAACAGAACAGTAGGCAGGTGCTGGGAAAATTGGGGCGTCGGGTAGAGCAGCGTGCTATCGACGTCGAGCGTGACTGCACTAACCCATGCTCGAGTAGGATGGGACCTAGGCGTGGTGCGCGATATGGATCTCAGCCCTTGCTATAAAGAAGGTAATGTGCACTTAGACGAGGTTGGAGGAAAGACGAGAAGGCGAGGGGGCACACAAAGAATAAGTGCAAGGTCCACAATGCGTGCATCCATACATATATTACAGCCCTCGCTGGAAGAGTCGGGGTTGTCGAAGATCGAGGAGGGGGCCAGCGTTGCAAAGAATCATCAGTGGTGCGCGTTCATAAGGTCAGTTCCGTGCTGAGGTGACATGTCATGTTGTTGGATCGTCGAAAGGTGCTGAGAAGAGTGGTCGCGCATGAATGCAGGGATTTGGTTCATCGCACCGTGTGCTGTAGCAGTTTGAGAGGCCTGTCCCATCAAGACGCCCATCCCTATATCGATGCCTGTGCTCTGGTGCGCGTGACGATGAGCGTGAGCCGCGGCCCTTGCTGCAGCAGCTTGCGACTTCTTCGAAGGGGTCTTGGCCGCAGCGTTGGAGATAGCAGTGGGGTCTCCTCCGCTGCGCTTCACCTTTTTGGCCCATCGAAGGCCGCAGGCATTGCAAAGGGTCTTGGGTCCCAGTGGTCCTTTTCGCCACTCAGGAGAATCGATGCGCCCGCAGTCTGTGCACACATAGTCTCCCTCATCGCCTTTGGGTTTCTTCTGTGGACAGCAAAAACACGAAACTATCGTCAGCGTAGCTTCCAAGCCGCAAAGTCTCTGCTTCCGAGCTTACCTTCTTCCTACTGCCGTCCTCTGTCCCGCCCAGATCGCCGTCGTCATCCTCCTCGCTTTCTTCAGCAACGCCTGTACCAGACGTCAAAGTGCGCTGCATGGTGGAAGAAGGTGTGTTGCCAATCGTGTTGGATCCCAGTGGAGGGCTGGTAGGCTGAGACTTGTGACCAGCAAAATCGCTTCCGCTCTCTCTCCGCCAAGCTGCGCCGTTCATCGAGCTAGCGCTCTCGCGCCTGTGATCCGCCGCAGCTTCAAGTTCCGCTTTGTAGAAGAAGTCAGGATGATACGCAGCATCGTCCAGAGAAGCGCGGCCTTGGGATTGCCCATCGGTCCCACTCTTGCGCTCATCGAGGTGCCCCTCACTTGCGTTGTACCGCGAAGACGATCGCCGCGCCATGCGCTCCCCATCTTTGAGATCCATGTCCGCTAGCAAGAGACGCAACCGCTCATTCTCCAGCTTGAGCTCCAAGAACA